CCAGGCACCCTATGAAACTGTTTTTAAGTGAAAATTATTAAACTGGTTTGATAGCTCCAAAGATTCACTTTGATTATGTGTATTTCGATTCTTACATAAAAAATGCTTCCAAGTTAGCAATTTCTTGAGAAAGTTTTTTTCTTAAAAGGCTAGCATATTCAAAGTATTAGAAGTTCAGTTTCTTTCTTCTCTAGGGATTCTCTATGTCCCTTATGTTAGAATTATATAAGTACTTACTAATCTGTATGAATCAGAACAGGAGCTCTGTTAAATTTAAGATACCTTAGAATCTAATATCTATCTGTCTAGACTAGCTATCATTAGGGTACACACAAGTAAGAGATTTTTTTTTATAGCCAGTTGAAAAGACTGTTTTTTAAATATGCAGAAAGAACTAGCAGCTTCAGCAAATTTACCACTCAGCCATAGGTCCAAAATTAACACCCAAACTGAAGCCCAGAATGAAAAGGACTATTCTTCTTTGTGTACCAGATATTTTCTTGACTGATGTGAGCTTTTAGTAGCATGTAAACAGATAGACATAAAGACTAAGTAACAACCAGATTGTTATCTGCCACCCAACTTTCATTATATCCCTGATGTCTGCCATCCAACAGATTTCATTAGCAGATAGATTCCCTATTATTGCTGCCAGTAGTGAGGAGTATATTAGTCACAAAAAAAGCCTATTTTTGTCTGATATTAGTAAAGCTGCTCTAGCTCTCTTATGGTTGCTGTTTACATGGTATATCTTTTGACATTCTTTTAATTTTACCTACTTTTATCTTTGAATCTAACATTTGTCTCCTATTAATAACATGTACTTAGGTCTTATTTATTTATTTATTTATTTATTTATTTATTTCAAAGACAGCCTGACAATCTCTGCCTTGTGATTGGATTTTTAATTCATTCATATTTAATATTATTATCAATATGATTATATTTATCTCTTATTTTCTTTTTTTATATTTCATTTTTTTATTCCTCCATTCCTCCTTTACTGCTTTCTTGTGCATTAAATGAGTATTTTCTAGTCATGTTTTAATTATTTCAGTGGTTTTTTTCAATATATTTCCTGAGTTATTTTCTTAGTGGCTCTAGGGTTCCAAAATAGCTTTACAAATCTACTTTCACACTACCTTAATTACAGTAAGAGATAGAAGTTTAATTCTATATTGCTCTGTTTCCCTCT